CTGAGCTCTGGTTCATGAATGTGCCATTTGTTGCAGTGAGGACAACTGCCAGATGTAAGCAGCAACAGCCTGCTGTGCTTGTGACTACCATAAAAACTCAGATGATACTTCTTGCAGCTGAGCCTTGCAACTGGAGTTGTGTTAGTGTGACAGGGAGAAAGGGAGAGAGAAAGCAGGGACTCTTGAAACCGCTACGGAAATCTTTTTCAGAGAGATCCAAACTTATTTTGAAATCTGTATATCATGTGAGATGGACAGTGGGACTGACAAAATTAGTTTTGTCTTCTCTATACATAGTATTTCATAACCATTTATGTGAAATTAATTCATCTTTAATTTAGCGGGGGGGATATCAACTAAAGGACTTCCAGTTTCACCCAATAGAGCTACATTGCAGTGTGTCACTCTTTGATTGCACCTGCCAGCTGTGAATTGTGCTTTTGGATTTTTGGACTTTCCAGATTTCAGTAAATCAGCAGTTTTCGAGCATTGATAGTCAGCAAATTGTGAATAACATTTAGAAATGAACAAAGATTGTCTGCAGTTGAAACCCTCCCCAATTATTTAATCGTTGTTTTAGGAAAGAGTAAATTATCTTGTTTTCTCCAGTGCATGTTTTGCGTCCAGAGGAATTAGGGCAAACATATCTCTGGTGGCTGAGTAGAATGTAAACATTGATGAATTCTTTTGGTTTTGGAGTGGGAATTTGGGACTGGGTAAGAAAGTTAGCTGATTATCAGCCTGATCTCATTCTTCCAGTGTTTAGGATTTTACCTTCCTCTGACAGAGATAAATAAACGCAAGGGAGATCCGTACAAAAAGTGTAAAGCTTTTCAAAATCTTGATCTTGCAGAGGAGCACAATTCGGGTCAGAGGCAGTTTGAGGAGTTTCTTGGGAAGAGTTAAATTCCCTACATGTGCAGAAATTCTCTCATCTATATTTACTTGGAATGAAGGGAAGCTGCTTAAAATAGTAATATGGGAATTTTTTTGCATTTCCCACTTCAATCATAGTCTTCTCCAAAATGTGAAAACCTTGGAAATATTTCAAAGACGTTTTGTGAAATGCTGAAAAAGTATAAATGCTGAACTGTGGTAAAATGATACAACAAGTCAGTCACAGACTTATGGGTGGCAGCTGCAGTCTAACATGGCACAGACATCAGGACACTGCATGGGTTTGCTGGGGTTTGCTCAGATGCTGCAAGTTTCTCTGAAGCTGAAAGATATTGTTTAGTAAAAATCACTGATCCTGCTGTTTAGCCAAAAACAAAATCTGCGTTATGGAAAAAAGCAAAAAAGCTCTTGTCAAAACCACCTGTGCAAAGTGACAGCTGATTCGTCTGTTGCCAAGGGAGTCATTCACTGGCTTCAGCTTGTGCCTGTTAACCCGCGACTGACCAGGGCATTTCCTTTCATAGTCACACAACAACTGGCAGATACATGTGCCATTCCCATATGAAGAGCTGTGTGTGCTGTTTTCAGTCCTGTCAATTATATGTATACAGCTGAGATGAAGGCTTTTTATCTGTTTTTAAAACAGGCCTACTGTATGCTGGTTGATCTTTTTCTGGACGTTAAGTATTACTAAATAAAACCATTGCTAACACTCTCAATTGCTGTTTCTGAAATCTGTATTGGAATAACAGCCACTGGCCCTGTTAAGAAACTTAGTTGCATTTTCCGGATTCAAATTTTATTAGGAAACCAAAACCCCGTTGAAAGGTTAAGGGGTTTTTGGTTTTTTTATATAATGATAGGAACTAAAGGAATTGTTGATACGGTAGCTCTATCAGATAACTGCATACCATTCAAAGCAACAATGCGTTGGTACTTTTTGGAAACGCAGTGAAGTAAAGGGATGAAACTGTTTAGTTAAAGAGCTTGGAGATGAATATGAAATGCATATCCGGTCATAAAGGAAAATATTCCTTTATTTTCTGGAAGCTGTAATAAAAAAAAATTACCTATGTGATGTAATTACTAAAACTCAGCCTTTCCATCACTTGTCCTGATTTAGTACAAAACAGCATGATCCTTTTCCTTCATCTTTGCGATAAAGTTGATGAAATTGGTGTGCAAGCACCAGTTCAGCAGCGTTAAATTGAGAGCTTGTGACAGAAGTCCTTTTTTGGGGATGTGTGTCTTGTTCAGAATAAAGGGTAGGGCACAGTCCTGTTTTTATGCAAGGAATGTCCCAGGTGATCTTGGTAGCAGGATGTTGGAGGGTTAAACAGAAAAAGGAGTCTGTAGAACTGGTTCTACAGGCTCCTCGAGGCATCTTTTGCCTTTTTTTGCATGTTGGAAGCCATTAATTTTTGTCTTGTCTCTACAGCTCCTCCCCTCCTCCCCTTTGTCTTAACCTTTTCCATGTTGAAATGGATATTCGGCATGATGTAGAGCAAGCAAAAAGCGATAGCTCACAGTGCCAACTGCTCTGAAACCTTGGATTTTGCACTTGTCTGTGCCTGTCATCCAGCAGAGCAGCAGCACCACAGCATTCTTTCACACATACTCAGGCTTTTGGCTTTCCCTTGGCGAACAACAAAGAATATTGGCGTTGGGGTGGAGGGGGACAAGGTGTAAAAATGGCACTATTCAACACTGAGACAGAGACAGAATAAACTCCTTAAGCTTTTACTTGTTAATAGTCTTTTTGGAAAGTGTATAGGGCATAGATACTGTGTGGTGTGTTTTATTTTGTGCTCAAGGAGAGTTTTCAACTCGTCACAGGGTCACCTAATCAGAAACTCTTCTAGGTTCTCCAGTGTTATTCTGGGAAAAAAAGCAATTATCTGTGGTAAATTGCAGGGGCACAATAAACTATTCTTACTTTTGTGCCCCACAGCAGTGAAGTAGGCTTTGCTCTCCCAACTGTCAAGAAGTGCCTCCCGTTTTTCGAACTTGAATCTGCTGATACGTAACATCCACTTGCATGCTCTGGGCCCCAGTTCTTGTTTAAAGCAGATTTTTTTTTCCTTTTGTTTTTTTTGTTGGTTCTTTTTAATTCGTTTTAAGGCCTTTAGGTTTTTTTGTTTTTTTCTTCTCAGCAGCACAGGCACAGATAACTCCATTGTGCAATGTTGAGAACTGGACACATTTTTTAAATGTTACACAAAAGATTATGTTTTTTTAGCATATTGAAATATGAATTGCTTGCTAAGATAGCTTGTTATTTTTTATTATTATTACCCAGTTTTAAAGGTCTTCCTGAAATTATGAAAATGTTCTTTTTCCTTAAAATGTGTTTTGTTTCATTTGGAACTGGTTTTCATCTGATGGTTTCTCTTTAGCAATTCTCTCATGGTTTTATTCAAAGTCTTCCTTGATATTTGGATAAGGTGAATGTGCATGTTGGTAGCACTGTTATTACCTTGTATAATAGAGGCTTCATACTGCAGTAACTATGAAGTGCACTGTAGTCCTTTAAAAAGTGTCCATAGGTTTGTATTAAAGCAATAGCTTAGAATCAAATAGTAATTTAACAGTAAAAGTGAATTGACTAATGACAAAGTTGAATGTGCACTGCATGTAAATTGAGGTGGAGGAAGCTGAGGATGTTTGCAAATCAAGTAGCAGCTGAACCTAAAATGTCTCCTCACCTCATCAGGGCCGGTTATAATAGCCTTCATGACAGTTAACTGGAGCCTCTTACCATCTAATCTGATAATCTCTATCTGTCTGCCTTTTTTCCCCTTCTTTCAAGCGTCTTGTATAAAGTAGCTGCTTCATGCCTAAATGCAGTTTTGCTTAAGCACTTGTCTGAACACGCTTATGCAGATATTTTATGTTCTTGATTAAAAGCACCTCTGGGAATTTTTCAGTAATCACATGAGTTTGTACAGTTAATTAAAATTTTGAAATGCTGCATAAAATGAAGTGCTGGCGGTTTCAATCTGTTAAGGAGTCAATAGCTGTGGGGGATTAATGTGGACCTTTGTGTTTTTCTTAATCTATAGACATGTCTATGTAGAGATCAATCAAGTCTTACTCTGGATCACTTTGCCTTCAAGGGGAATTGATTGCAGTATTACAGCTGTTACAGTTTTGCCTTTTCACTATGAAACTGTTTATTTTAGTTGTTCTATATATTACTATACATTTGTTGCATATTCTTTTTATGCAGTCAGCCCCCCCAAAATAAAAAAGTCTTTATATATGCCTTCTTAGCTAAGTGCTGTAACTGTGAAGTTTTGTTGGGAATGTATTGAGAGATTAACATATATATATATAGAACTTACACCTAAAATAAACTTCCTTTGATGAATTTTGAATTGTTTCTTGGTCAGACCTTTAACTAACTGTATTGAAATTAAAATAGATGATTCTCCCAAATGAGAAAGTATTTAGACTGTGTGGTCACTTGAAACATTCAGCACTATTGATGGCATCTGTACAGAATCCTACACTAACGGCCTTTTCCTGTAATGCTTTTTTAAGTAGCAGACATCCCAAAAAGTATATAACCTATTCAGGGTTGACATACAATTTTTTTTAAGGTTGACCATACTTGCATTCAAGATGTCAACTTCATTTTTGCGTCAAACTGCATCTTGAAGCTGTTATCCCTGAGGTCAGTCTCAGATGGAAAAGACACAGTTTCTCCAGATCTTGAGACAATGTGCATGAATTGTTGGGGGTGTTTCTCCAGCTGTGAGTAACATCAGACAGGCAACAGCTGAGAGAACAGAGCCCTGCATTGAAGTGCAGCTCCATCTTGAAAGTGATTGCAGTGGGCTTAAAAATGGAAGTTTAAAAACTTCTCTGGATGCGAATGACAGTATCAGGCACTTTTGCGGTTGTTACACAACACAAGGAGAGGTAAAAAGCTGTATATTCTTCTCCTTGCTTATAAAAAAGTGCCTTTGGCAAAAAGGTAAAAACTGGTGTAAAGGAAAAGCATGTTGTGAAATATCGTTGATGTGCTAAACCTAAATATTTTCTTTCTTTTAAATGGATGATAACTATCATAATAAAAAAAATTCTATCATTTTCTACAGTATGAACAGTCACAGTATGATGTGCCCAACCCTGACTGATACCTGAACGGTATAACCCTGGTCTCTGGAGGGGTAAATATAACGTGAGACACCCGACACCTCAGAATTGTACCAAATATATATATTTGCAACAGATTCTTTTAAAAAAAACAGTTGTCGTTTTAAATCATTTTTTGAGCAACATCCAAGTGAAGGATGGCATACTATGCATACTATGCATGCGGTTCTTCAGGGAGTTTAATTTATTGTCTTGCATTTAAGGGCACTAATAACACAGCTTAAATACGCATCCACGTTTTTTGAAATTTTAGTGTAACCTTTGCTTGAATTACAATTTGTAACAGCTGAAAAGATGATTAACGAGATGAATTATCCCTTTCTCACTTTGACTTATTTAGCGTTTTGTAGCAGCTGCAGTTTGGATGGATCCAGTGTTGATTATTAGCGTTATGCAACAGTCATGCACTTTTAGGTCCAAAACATTGTATTGTTCAGTATGAAATATTGCAGAAATTGCTCACTTACTGCCTGAGAATTACCAAAGCCAGGAACTTGTTTTATCACAGTTTGGGTTTGGCATCTCCAGACGACAAAGTTGTCAGTTTGTCTATTACTTTTACAGAACAGTACTGAACAATTTAAATATTCATGTAGTGTATGGTATTTTCTTTGTTTTCCTGTGTTTACTTTTCTGCTGAAATTAAGGTCTGAACTGTGTAAATGCCTTAACATAGTAATTGATGATCATAGCAGTACAAGGAGCTGGCTGCTTTTTTATTTCAAAAAGAAACAAAAGTATGAAGAAATGTGTGGTTCCTCCACCAGGCAAAAGGTACAGAGCTTTGGAGGTATGAAAAGTATAAAAACAGTTCAATTAAATATTTTTCACCCTTTACAATTTTCAATCATTTCCTGTTTTATAAACCAAAAATATGACAAAGAAATGTAAACAATTTGGCCCATCTAGGTTGTTTGGTTTTGACAGTTATGTGATCAGAGAATCTCATCCAACCGTTTCATAAAAGAAGTAAACATCACAGCTGGGTAGCCTGTTCCAGATTCCCATAACCCTTTGTGGAAGGAAATGCTCCTATTCTCAGTTAAAGATGCATTTCCCCTCAGGTCCCATTTGTTTCTCCTGCTTTCTTCTTCACTCTTGATACTGAAGTGGTCCGCTGGGTTGATTTTGTTTATAACATTGAGGATTTCAAAAACTTGAGTCAGATCCCATAGTCTTCTCTGTGAAAAAGTCACAGTTTCTCCAAATCTTGACACAATGTGCATGAAGATGTTGGGGGTTTTAGCTGAAAATGATTCAGATTGGCTGCCAGGGTAAGGTTTTGCTTTGAATTCAGGAATGTACCTTGATTGTCTTCTATGGATTGATATGGCTACTCTTGAATCCTTATTGTATCCGGGAACTAAAAGTGTACGTACAGTTTAAAGTGAGGTCAGTACTGCATTGTACTACTTAACATTCCTTGTTTTTAACTCTGTGCCATATTTTTATATTCTGTTTGTTGACATCTGTGACATGAAATCAAATAAAGTATAAAAAAAACCTTGACATTTATTAATATTATTTACCAGATAAACATGGCAATATTTTGTCTTTTTATGGCATGCGTTTTGTTACACTTGTGCTTTGTGGCGCTTATCTTTTTGCCCTTTTTTTTGAGAGGGGGTGTTTCGTCTCCATAGTAGAGTGAAATTCTTTTAGTACAAAAAAAAGTTTGAAACGACGTAACCCTTCAAAAGGCAACAGAAGGCGACCATTTTCTACCGGAGGGTTAAATGCCAGATTTGAGACAGGATGTGTGGGATGACTCCACATTGCTAGGCCGCACTGTGCCAGGGATGCCCTGCTAAATGCCACACCACGCCTGAGGCCAGACTGAAATGTGCAGAAGAACCCAGCTCGCTCCTCACTAACCAAGCAGGAGTGGTTCTGTCAGCTTTTAGAGGACGTGCTCCCTTATCATTGTCTGCTTTTTTATTCACTTACAGAGTTCAGTTTAGAATTTCCCTTGAGTTCTTTGAAGAAATTTGTGAGATTCTTTGTTGTTATCCCACAATGCCTGTGAAGAGTCGTGCAGTACAGCAGCAACATGTCACGTGCTCTGTATTCATAAAAGAGCAATTGTTGGGGGGGGATCAAATAGAAAACATATTTTCAGTGACAGTGCTTCCTCCATTTCTAGTCTGAACCTGGACTGACTGAGTCACAGCAAATATAGCAGAAGGACAAAGAGCTGTGCGCAAGTTTTAGTTTCACTGACACCACACCCTTGCTAAGATGGGCCAATTAATTTATTAATTTAAACTCTTTATTTTATTGAGTGTTCATTTTTAGTGGAGTAGAGAAAAGAGAGTGTCGGTGGATACTGTAATTTTACTGGGGAGAAAGCCAAAAGACAGTCCTCTGCGTCTGTGTTCTTAGAGGAGGTGGCTCTGTGTCTGGAGGCTAATAACATTTCTATTCAGCATGATAAGGCCCCAGAGATGAGTGGGCATAAACTGAAAACAGAAAACATAAAAATTACTTTTATCTTAGGACAGCCATCCATGGTGCAAACAGAATCTTTCCAATGTGTCTATTGAATAACTCTTGAGTCTTGCTGATCTGTGGTTATCACACAGACAGTGCACCAGAACATGAGAACACACTACATTATCTTCATGCGCTGGGACTCTTACCTGCACTGCTAAAAAGTAACTTGAATGTGACTGTTCACCACCAGATTATTCAAATCTTGTTTGGTAGAATTTATATAGCTAGCAGTTAAAGTTAAGTGAGCTTTTTGTAAAGTTGTACAGTGCCTAGGTATATTAAACTGAGCTGCCTTGACAAGATGATGATGATGATGATGATGATAATAATAATAATAATTGCTTACACTTATATAGCGCTTTTCTAGACACTCCACTCAAAGCGTTTACAGGTAATGGGGACTCCCCTCCACCACCACCAATGTGTAGCATCCACCTGGATGATGATTATAACTCAAATGATGTAACACCAAGAAGTATGTATTATGCCTGTAAATGTGTTTTTTTCACCACTGCATGTGCTTACATTGTAGGCTGATATTTATTTTGCTGGTGCAGAAACGTGGGAGAACTGAATGGTTCGTTCTTATTTCCGTGCCACAGAACTCGGCACTTACATGCTCCTTGCTGCCTCGTGTAGGTCCTTTGATTCTACATTTCAAAGAATGAAATCTCCTGCAACTCAGGCTTGTTATTGTCAGGCCAGTCTGTCGAGTGTTTGTAGTTGGCTGCAGCAGAGCATCTTAAGGACCATTCCTTTGAGAGGCTCTGTGCCCTTGTTTAACAGAGCCGGTCAGCGTCCTGCTTTTTTGACTGTATTTGAACGTGGCAGGGCTCCACAGAGGTTCTCAGTCTAACATCACTGTTTCACCAGAGGTACTCCGCTTGTAAAACAAAGTCTTGGATTTTAAAGGGGAACTGCAACGCTATTTTTATATTGCAGGGCTAGACAAAATCGGCATTGATGAATACATTTCAAACCACAATAAATGTAAAACGTACACAGTAACTTGTAAAACTTGTCAAAAAAACTTGTTAAACACAAAAATGTCCAGGTACAAGCAGCACCATATTCTGCGATTCAGAATGAGGCAACAAAACGTCCTGTGACGTGTTGCAGCCTTCTTAAATTGTAGTCCAGCAGGCTTGTGAATACATTGCTTTTAATCCAATAGAAATATTGCTTTTGATTTCGAGACAGTTTTGCCAACAAATACTTCTTGTTAAGTCTGCATACAGATCGTGTTGGAACATTTCTGCGGTGAAATGTCTGTTGCACAGCCTGTACTTATTCGCTTGTACGTCACATTACATTAGTCGATAGGGTGACTAGTGAGCAGGAAGGGTCACACCACGTCGCAGTTCGAGGGAACTAATGCGAGTTTGTGACAACATGGTGACTTGCACAAAGTTCACGATTTTGTGCTTAATTTGGAATTGGTCATTTTTTTCTATTAATGTCAATTAATTGATTTTGTTGCCAAGGTTTAATAGCCGGTTTGAGAAATAGGGACTGCAGTTCCCCTTTAAGCAGTTAGTAGGGCTTGTTAGGTTTCTAACGGACACTTTCCAATTTTAAATCTGCAATTCAAATGTTTGTTTTACAATGCCAGTCAAATGAGTTAAATTCTTGTTTACAATGACTACTTGGGGAGCTTCTTACACAGCAGGGCATTTTCTACAAGCACTTGGAGTGAAGTACTTTGCTGAAGGGTTGAGCTGAACACCAGTGTCCCATCCCAGATGAGCCCTCGAGCTTCCAGTGTAGAACTGTACCATTGCTCTATGCTTTTAATGTACCGTTATTACTTAAGGCTGTATTTTTTTTTATATAGCAAAATGTTTACTTACTGCGTCAGTGTGTTTATTTACGTGCAGGTCTGCTACTTCACAAAAAATATGTATAATTTGCTATGCAAACCCATTTTATATTTATTTTTGATTGAACTTTTAAAGTACGTTGGCAAGTTCACGAGTATTTCCATGGTTGAGTCAGGCTGTTTGTAACGAATCTGTAAATTCATTTTTTTTTTGGCTGTTCCTTTCTTAAGCATCTTAAACTGCCCTGTGGGTGAATGACCAATGTTAATGCTTATAAATATGAATACTGATGTTAATGACCATGGTCTGTGGAGATCTTTTCCTGACCATGTGATCATGATAGTATCAAGTATTCTTTTTAGAGGGGCTCGGTTAAATATGAAATCATTGACACTATGGCTTGTGAAAAGCCGTAAAATCAAGGGGTGTCACCTACTATCTTTACAGTAGTTTTTGAAAACACATTTATCCCATCGAAGTTAATGTCATGGTTAAATATAGAGATGGGTTCCAGTTGTATAGCAGCAGTATTTTTTTAAACACTGGAACTTGCCAACTCGGGCCTTTAAAAACGTGAATCAAGTTTGAGGACGTGCATCAGAGATGCTTCATTCACGCCACTGGTCTCGACAAAAGCAGCTTGAAAAGAAGTTTAGTGTCTTGTGACATGTTAAGATAATGGAGGCTGGTAGGTACGTGCTGCTGCTGGGGA